GAAACTTCAAGCCATTAGCTTGAAGCCCTATGTTCCACTGGGAACGTGGGAACTCCTCCTCCTTTGAATGGAGAATAGTAAACAATTCAGTATGAAACATGAATCCCGGTTGTGACAGAATCCCGAGTCAAAGATGTCATCAACATATGGGTACTATACACCTATGTGAATAAGGTGCTAATCTCAATAACCTATAGTGAATCAGGTTGCCTCCAAAGATTTCCTGCAGGTTAGACATTCATAGTTTCAAAATGAATAGGGAAACAAGGCAGGTTTTTTTTTAACCGTCGTATCGTTACTTAGGGCTAACTGCTCTAGCAAAGCAATACCTCTTTACATCGTCCATTTGTTTTTCAATCAGTCAGAAATGCTAGCAATGAGTATGCCCCTCCTCCCATGAATGTGGGAGTTCACAATTCGATTCTCAGCAGATGCAGTCATTGCAAAACCTCGTCTAGCTTAGTAGTAAGCCGACAGAAGAGTAAAAATTGATCATAAGTCTAGCTAGCAACTCCAACTCGTAGAAATAATACAACAGCTCCTAAAACTTCCCATCTTGAAGCCTTATGTCCCGCTAGGAATGTATGGAATGGAAAAAAACATATTCAACCGTTTTAAAAATGCATCAAACTTGACCACCACCATAAAACAAGTCTGGAAATATCTTTCCAGTTATAAAACTATTACCTCAAAGTAGTGAATAAACTACATGCACATTTCTCTTATTTTGATTGGACACTAGTAACTAGTGTGACGTGTCTAGTCCTTTCTTTGGTGCAGACTGATAGACACTAGTTACTAGTGTCCAATCAAAATACCCACTACAGTCCTACAGGAGGTCAATCGCGAGCCCGAATAGCTCAGTGGTAACGCCTCTGACTGCAGCACTGGGTGACGCGGGTTCGAATCTCAGAAAGGACATGAGTTCCTTCAAGGCTGCAGATACGCCTTGCTGACTTGTGAGTGCCAACTAGCACGAAACCTAGGTCCAAGGCTTCCTGTAGCCGATTGCTTCCAACTATCTAATATCAACATTTCTCTAATCTTATCTGTTCATTTAAAATTAGCAGTATGAAATAAAATCATTTAATGATGTAACTAAGAGAAACACCTTTATATGACTATCATCAAACACCATAATGCATAAAGATATAATGAACATACCTGATGCCCAGATCCATCTTCTTTCCGCAAAACATTTGGATTATAGCGCTAAAAAGAAAGAAGTATTATTATAATTGCATTATAATTATATCACAGTAAATTTTTGTGCAAAAAAAATGGGGAGAGAAAAACCTTACGATTCAAAAAGTGCATATATGACCAGTACTCACAGTTAATTGTTACACCAGAGTATTTGCAATTTTGTATTCCTTTGATAAATTTCAACTTGCAGAGTTCATTATAAGTATCAAGAAAAAAACACCCCATACTAAGTTTACAGAACAAAACGGCAAAGTTAAACTTTAAGCACCACTAACTACCAATCAGTGAATGTGACCTCGAACGCATCAATCATGTGAAGGAGGCTTTTTGTGTATGGAATACATATTTTTATGAAATAATGCATAAAAACTGTAGAAAAGTGTTACAGAGGATACCTTCCTCTCAAAAGTGATAAAAAATACCTAATAGTTTTAGGTTGGGGTATCAACACAGCATAATTCCATTGTGGGTACAATTTATTTTGATGAAGTCTCATGGTGTAATACAGTAATATTTCCTGAACAATAAATTGTGCTCGAAAAGTCATCAGTAAATATTGCTATATAACACCACTGTGAGACTTTATCAAAATAAATGTTACCCACAGTGGAATTATACTCTACCACCACAGTGCACAAGTTCTATTCTTATATCAACATGCTATGCATGTAATTATTTAGGTCCTCTAACCCAAACAATAATCCTAATCTCCCCTGAACCTAAATCTAACGTGAAAACATCCCTAAACTAACTCGAACCAACCCTAATGTAGCCTTTATTAGGTGAACCTTACCCTAACCTTTCCCTTTGCTTAAAGCGTAACTTAATCTTTTCCAAATATAAGCTATAATTTGCCTGATATCCCATTTCATAGCATAACACTTCGATAAGCATATTTTATTGATGATGACAACATAATTTGCCAGGTTTCACTCATTTGCTCAGTGAGTTTATCAAGGTCATGAGTGCGGCCGCACTCCATTGTCAGTTAGTGGTGCTTAAAGTTTAACTTTGCTAACAAAATGTAGGCAGTTGTTTCTGTCTACTTTTAGACATCTGTTCCAGATATGGTGATTCTCCAAAAGCATCTGTTCTTACGACTTCAAACAACGTAGGTTGGGGCGGGGGAAGGGGGATCTGGTCATTACTTCAAAACCTTACCAAATGGTCACGCGTGTTAACTGAGTGTTATCTACTGCCTATGGACAAAAGTGAATCCACAAGATCGATGCTAATCAACGCACTGTGATGGGCATGAGTGGTTCCCCCGAGGGGGGAGGGGATAATTAAATCAGTGGTGCATATTAATTAGAGAATTTGAAAGAAGACCTGTTTTGGTCCTTAAAAATCATCGGACAGCAGTGCCTGAAGTTATTTTGAGGTCCTGTAGCGTAGAATTTAAGTCGAATGCTTGGTGCATCATTCCTTAAGACGAATATCTCCTTCGGTTTGATGAGAATGCTGATAGCGTTTGAGACTTCATATGAAATATAGGACGACAAATTGACAGGAAGTGCAGCAGAACAATGCCATCGCTAAGCCTCATACACGGGTTATTTCGTGAACCATATATTCGCACTTTCAATTCATCCCCATTTTACTATTACTGTTATAGGAAGAAGATGATTTCTGAGCTAACAGTTGTTTTCGATAACTTCTTCCTTCTGGCTCTACAGTTTTAAATCCACGAATATTAAAATGCCGAGAAAATACATAGCACTGATTAAGGCACTCTACTCGTACTCATGCAGCCAGGTGAGGGCTTATGGCGAGTTGTCATCTGAAGTGGTGACGACTAGTGGCGTCCGTCAAGGATGCCCATTATCCCCATTTCTATTCAACTTCATCATAGACGTACTAATGGACTTAACCCTAACACACTTCAGAGACTCAGGGATTGACTCGCTACCATGAAGTAATCTCGTCGACTTAGAATATGCGGACGATATAGTCCTTCTAGGCGAGGACGCTGACAAAATGCAGAGTCTTCTGAACACCTTGAGCTGCAATCTACGAATGTTTGGCATGAGATTCGCTCCCGCCAAATGCAAGATGATGTTACAGGATTGGACTACACCGACTCCTAGATTAGAAATAGGAATTGAAGTGGTAGAGCATGTTGACCGCTTCACTTACTTGGGAAGTACCATCAGCCCCAACCGGTTGATCTCCGACGAAGTCTCAGCACGAATACAGAGGGCTAATTTCGCATATGCCAGTTTACGCCGTCTCTGGCGTAGACGTGATATCCGACTATCGACCAAAGGGCGTGTGTACTGCTCAGCAGTCCACTCCATCCTCCTTTATGGCTGCAAGTGAGACATGGCCATTGAGAGTAGAAGGCATGAAAAGGCCGGTTAGCTGTCTTTGATCATAGGTACCTGCGTTCTATCTCCAGTGTCACGTGGTTATAATAAGGTGAGCAACATTGAGGTTAGGCGTCGAGTACTAGGTAAGGCGGGTAAATCAACCGACGAGGCTGTGAAATTACATCGACTGAGATGGTTAGGACATGTGTTACGTATGATTAGCCATCGATCGGCTTCCTCGATGGTCAATGTTAGCTGATATAGGGTCAGGCTGGAAAAGAGCTAGCGGCGGTCAAACCAAAACATGGCACCAGTCAATGAAATCTACAACAGTTAGTCTAGGCTACGTAGGAAGGTGTAGACTTCCTGACTGGTTGGGGTCCTCGGGACGGTAAAAACCAATGGTTGGAAACAATTGGTGACATGGCTCAAAATCGTTCTCAATGGCTGGCGCAGATGCATCCACTCCTTGTGACTTATGATTTCGAATGAAACTGTTTTGTTTTTCGTTATTACTATTCCTTTGTCTCACACCTCCGTTTACTGTCACTAATATGCATTTCTCCTACTTTCTTCTCTTGCTTTGTGTGTTACATGGAGTGTGGTGACTTGAACTGCCGCACATATGTGCAAAGTTCTATGTCAATAACAGACAGACAGACAGACATTAAAATACAATTGGCCAGTAAAGGCAAATGAAAGGTGATGAAGACAACTAACCTACAAACACCAATCACCACCAACGGGATAGATTTGAAGGCGGCAGTCCACTTGATTCACTTACCTAGGCAGCATCATAACCACTACAGGATGCACAGATGAGGATGTCAAAGACAGCTAGGAAAGAAATTCATGAATCTGATATCACTATGGAAATCCACCGTACTCCACATATAAGGAAGAAAATCCACACCTTCAACACTAATGTCAAGTCTATTCTACTATATGGTTCAGAGAATTGGCGCGCACACCAATAAAAGGATTCCCAACAGGCTACTGCAGATATTCATCAACAGCTACCTTCACTCGACATTGAAAATCAAATGGGCAGAGAAGAAGAGATTAGCAAATAAATGAACTTCAACAACGAACTAACAAAGAACCTATCGCCATACAAATATACGGAATGAAATAGAGATGGATTGGGCATAAGCTGAGGAGACCATTCGACAACATCGTGCGCCAGGCCATCGAGGAGAACTCGAATAGGAAGTGACGTATTAGGCGTGGGGGAAACATGGAGGACATCGTGTGGGGAGGAAATGAAAGCCTATGAGCAGTCTTCATTCCAATTGTGCTGCTGGAGCCCTATGTTCCGCTGGAAGTACAAGAAACCATAATAATAATAATAATCATATATATATACATATATATATACCGGAAGATCAGTTGAACTTGCCAACTAGGATCCACATACAAATCTATTTTTCAAATATACAGTGTACAATATGAATGTTAGGTTTGAAGATATAAAGTATCACTTACCGCGCATATAACATGTTTCCGATGTCCAACAAGATCTAAACATGGTGTCCAATTATTTCGATCGATAAGTTTAGCAGTCGGGAATCCATTATTTACAGCATGTGGTGAAGCCAAAGTTGAACCATCTAAACTCCATGATAAACGCATCACTTGACTTTGTCCACTAGCCTACGGGGAAAATGAAGTAAATTTCAATATTTACATTTTAGGTATGAAACGTTCGCTTTTTCAATACATCCAACTGCCATTACTGGTAATTGCCTGAATAAACGTGCCGGTACGACCAAGAATAGGTAGACTTCGGTCTCATGTGGCTATGCGTTCCTTTTAACTGCCTTTAGTAGGCGGGAATGTTCCTCACAGAAGTGAAAGGAATAGTGTGAACGTCTGCTGCTTACTACCGGACTGGGGGATATAATAATAATAATAATTTGCTTTATTCCAAAACAGTACTTGTGATACAGAATGGAATTCTCAGCATTCCACTACAGTATTGCAGCCAGTTAGTACGCTATCAATAAATAGAATTCTACATAGACTAAGGAAATCTCAGTTCATTATGACAACAACATATTGGGATGTAGGTAGCAAAGCCAAAGCTGAACAGTGTTTGAAGGTGTTAAAAAAAGTAGGTGCTATCATATTTACTGGCGTAAGCGAGAGAAAGAAACAAAGCAGCACATAACGGAAAAAAAGAGAGAGAGAATAGGAAAAGAAAGAAAGAAAATGTTGTACCTATAAATGATATAAGTTGGAAAGGCGAGATCCAATTGTTCTACTGACAATTTAATAAGTTATGGGTATCACGCCTAATGCTTTCTTTATCGCACAGAACACGAGCTAAGTAGGTTATGGTTGAGTTATTGTACTTGCTAGTGCCAGCATATAGTTTTCTATGTAGGCTTCTGGTTCTGTCTGATGAGATACAAGGGTAGAGTTGTGAGTGAAGAGGGTGGTGGGAGTTAGATAAAATGGATTTGGCCCATTTTTCATATGAGTCCATGTGCCTGTCGACCAGAATATTAACAAGCTGGTTAAGTGGCACGTTGCTTACCCTGCTGACAACCTTTAACATCCTGCGTAATATGTTAAAGTCTTTCTTCAGTAGCCCTGGAAAAACTAAGGGGCAACAATAGAGAATAATAGGCAGAATGCGAGAGTTAACGAATTGTAGGAGTAAGGGTTGGGTTATACCAGAATGTTTTAACTTCTTGATGTCGAAGGTACGACGGAATATTTTCTTAGAAATCGCCAGGATATGAGACGACCAGGAGAGATCAGCAGATAGAATGACGCCTAGGTATTTAATTTCCGACTTGGTTTCTATTTCAGTGGCATCTATGTTGCATACCTCTCACGAGGTATGCATGTCTGCCTACAGGAGTTGGAAATCCATGATTCCAAACCTATGGTGGACACAAGCTCCAGAATCCGAAGGGGTCGAATGGTGTATGCATCTGTCTTGATCATGGGAAACCATGGGAACGCTATTCTTCTGACTTGGAGGTCAGACTTAAAGACAAGGGATCATGAGTAGCCCCTTAAGACAACCACCTGTTTTGATCTGAGCGGTCTGGCAGTATCCCAGCCGTCGTACAAACTGAGACTTTGTGTGGCACATCTCAGTACAGTCCATAATGTACCAGGCTTTTTATACATGTATATATATACATCAGTTAGAGAACCACTGGAAAAACTGAGAGTACTGTGACTCTTCGGCAGTACGCTCCCACCAGGGTTCATACCCAGGACCTTCCGGTTACTAGGTGAGCCCATAGACGATCCAGCCACTGGGACCCGATGAATTTCAACTTCTGCCAATTGGTGATATAAATTTTGCGCAACTGCCAGCCAGTGTTACAGACGAGTAAACGTACTCCTCCCAGGTTTTCCAATCCCTTAGCACGTTTCGGTTGGCCGAAAATGTAGAATACAATCTGTAAGAAACGGGATCACTTAGGAATGATCTGTGAAGAGTAATAAAACACAATATTAACATCCGCTAATTACTCAGAATATTCCAACAAAGAATACAAAAATATATAACTTTTACCTTGGCAAATGGTTTACTAATAGTGGCCTCCTCTTGCCAGTCTGCAGTACGCCATATCTTTACAGTTAAATCATCTCCTTGGCTGGCTAAATAACGCCCGACTGGATCCCAAGTAACGCCTTTAACAAAACCTTGATGACCTCTCAGTGTTGCTTGTATACAAAACGAGTTATTTGCATAACCTCCTCCGTTGGGAAGTTTTTGACGACACCATACAATCACTGAGTTATCAACACTAGTTGAAGCCAATCGATTACCATCATGGGACCAAGACAGATCAATAATATCTAGGGGAAAAATAAGAGGGAAAAAAATGGGATAAAGAATAAAACACCATTCATTTTATTGAGTTGACATTCTAAAGAGAAGAGTATCTAACGCCCTGAAAACAACATTCCCTACTGTTGCTACGGTACGATTGGTATTTTCAAGTCGCCCATTGTTCTTCAACAACTCCAAAGATCAACAATCGGATTTGACCACTTCTGTGTGTATCTACCAATTTACTTGCTCATGTGGAGCGAGATATATAGGTCGTTCGATGCATGTTTTATCCAAAAGAGTCAAAGAACATTATCCTGCTTGGCTACGAAAAGGTAACAGTGGATCAATAAAGTGTTACTCAAGTATTGGTTTGTAGGGGTTTGGTTGATTGGTTACAGGATTTCATTATGAGCTGACATTGGTTTGAGAACCATTGGAAAACCTGGGAGTAATGGATGGCTGTTTCTTCCTAGTTTTAGGACTCTTCATCAGTACGCACCCACCGGGGTTCGAACCCAGGACCTTCTGGTTACAAGGCTAGCGAGCTCGTATACCATTGAGCCACTGGGACCCGATCCAATGGCCCATGAATTCTAACTTCTGCCAATTCACGATATAGCGTACACAGAAAACGGTCATTTGACATATTGATCACTTAGAATCATTCATTTTCGTACACCTTGTAAAGACAGGCGATTTATTTACTACGACACAAACTTGGTACCATATGGGGCGCCCAGAAATCCACCACACAACAATAATAAAAGAACAACATATATATG